GGAGAGGCCAGCTCTTAATGAAGGAGAGCAGAGTGAGGTAACATCCCCAATCCCAGAAGGGGTAAGGTGAGGAAAAGAGGCCAAGTTGTGGAGTCAGGTGTATCAGAAACTGAAGGAAGCCAATACATGTAGAAATATGAAGAGAAAGAAGGAAATCAGAATGTGGTGAGAGTTTCAAGAATCAGGATTTCAATGTTCATGGATGAATTCTTTGTGGTACCTTGGCTTGGTCTCTAGGTTAGATGTGCTGAGAGCAATTAGAAGACAGGAAGCAGAGCAGATATAACTCTGTGATAGGGGTACATTACAAAAAGAACATGACTTATTCTGTACATTGATGATATGTCCCAAGGTAGACTTATCTATGGCTGTAATGTATGAACTTTTTAAGTAGAGTCATTGGTTACCACCGTGCAATCATGTGACAGTGACAAAACACATTAGAACCCAGTGGTGGAGATCTCAGTCTGAATATCAGTTCTTTCATCACTAGCTGTGCTGCCTTCTGGAAATTAGCTACTCTCTCTCTGCATTACTATTCCTCATCAATAAAAAATGATGACAGTGGTAGTATCTATCTACATCATGGAGTTATGAAAATTAAGTGCATTGCTAGATGAGAAAAACTCATAATAATGCCATATAAATATTTAAAGAAGACAATTCAATGGCAATTGTATAAGCATTTTTATGACTCATAAATATGAAACTACTCTATATAGTGGCGAATAAATTTCAGTGTTGGATTTTGAAACAGGAAGAAATAAAACAGCAAAAAAAGGCAAGAATTTGTCTCTCATAAGTCGAGACAATGAGAAAAAAGTATATTTTTTAAACACAGTGACTGGGATCAAATCCTGAATTCATCCCTATTGCTCTGTGACTAGCACATGACTTTTCTGCCTCCAATAGTCAAGTCACCTCTGGTATCCTGGGATTATTGTAAAAATGAGTCTTGTAGTTGGCCCCTTAAACATTATTCATTTTCATCCCTCAAGGTGCCCCTTTGGGAACAATAATATTAAGTTCACAGTCTAGTCTGTATCCCAGCAGTTTCTTCCTTTCTCTACACTGCTGAAGCACACTTCCATAAACATTAAAATCAAAAGATACAGTTGGGAGAGAGGGAGTAGAGATGATTGGAGGACACATTATCAGAGAAGAGGACAAGTCAACATTCTACCAGTTGGGGAGGACATTTGACACAGTAGTTAAGTTGCTGCTTGGAATGTCTGCATCCCATATTGGAGGGCTTGGTTTGAGTCCTGGCACCTCTGATCCAAATTCAGCTTCCTTCTAATATTTACCCTGTGAGGCAGCAGATGACTGCTCAAGTATTTGGGTCCTGCCACCCTGTGGAAGACCTGGATGGAGTTTCTGGCTCCTAGATGAGGCCTAGACCAGCTCTGGCTGTTGCAGGCATTTGGAGAGTGAATCAGGAGATGGTAGATCTCTGGTAGGTTTTTGGTGAGGGCCCTCTTCCTGGCCACCTTCTTGCTTGGTCTTTCTTCCGTTGTGTGAGTGGGAGAGGGAGAGAGGGAAAGAGAGATTTTGATTACTTTTAAGGTCACCAATCTGAACAGATTAGGACCCCACTTTTATGACTTTATATAATCCTATCTTTTAAAATCCATATCTCCAAATACAGTCACATTGGAAGTTAGGATTTTCAACATATACATTTTTAGTCCATTGAATATACATAAGCAAATTTCACAATTGCCTAATTTGTTAGAATGCTGATTGAGACCAACTACATCCTAATTCCATAGAAAGAACGATGCTCTGTGAAAGCTGAGTAAAAACCACAGAGATTCTCTAGAAATAAGTGGAAGAGGTTGGGCCAAGGAAGTTCGGCAGGGTCACTGATAGCAGGCCTCGGCACTGAGTATACTGACCCCTTTCCTTTTCCAACTTTACCAAAAGAAACTGGGTTGGAGATAGACACATATTTCTTTTCTTTTAAAAAATTTTTAAAGATTTTATTGAAGGTACACAAATTTCATGAACATAGTGATACTTCCCACCCAACCCTCCCTCCCGCCTATGCCCCCAGCTTTCTTCCTTCTCCCTCTCCTACTCCCACTCTTTTTACAAAGATCTATTTTCAGCTTACTTTATACTTATTTCTTAATTTATACTTGTGTTGATGAAAACAGCATGAAAAGACTAAGGTAGAAATCCTTGAGGCAAACTGGAGAAAGGGCTCAGGGAACCAATATGGTAGTCAATCTAATAATCAAGATGAACTAGTTTAGTATTTTTTTTTTTTTTTGGACAGGCAGAGTTAGACAGTGAGAGAGAGGGACAAAGAGAGAAAGGTCTTCGTTCCATTGGTTCACCCCCCAAAATGGCTGCTACAGCTGGCACGCTATGCCGATCCAAAGCCAGGAGCCAGGTGCTTCCTCCCAGTCTCCCATGCGGGTGCAGGGCCCAAGCACTTGGGCGATCCTCCACTGCACTTCCAGGCCACAGCAGAAAGCTGGACTGGAAGAGGGGCAACCAGGACAGAATCCGGCACCCCAACCGGGACTAGATCCCAGAATACCGGCGCCGCAGGCAGAGGATTAGCCTAGTGAGCCGCAGTGCCAGCCGAACTAGGCTAGTATTAATCATCACTATAGAATGATCATCCTTGATAGAAAGGAAATTTACCTTCATCTTTATTTGTTTGTTTGAGAAGCAAAGAGAGACAGAGAGAAAGATAATGAAAGCTCTCATTTGGAGAGTAAATCAGTCAATGGGAATTCTATCAATCTGCCTCTCAAATGAAGTTTCAATTTTTAAATATAAACAGTTAAATAAAGAAAACTCATTTGTGGGACAGTTAGTGTTTATTTCATAAAGCTTATGAATGGTTTGTTTTCTAAGTATTTGGAAAAATGAAGGACTTATCATACACACAAAAAATTTAAACATCATGTTTACTCTCTAAAAATTATTAAAGATAAAAGAAATTATCAATTCCCAACTTGACTCTCACTGGGATTAAACATGACAATAGGTCTGCTCTGATTTCATCATCATTTTAAAAAATCATCTATTATTTTTCACTTTATGTTTCTGTGTGGGAGCAAACTGTTGAAATCCTTACTTAATGTATACTAAGCTGATCTTCTGTATATTAAGATAATCGAAAATGAATCTTGATGTGAAGGGAAGGGGAGAGGGAGTGGGAAAGGGGAGGGTTGTGGGTGGGAGGGACGGTATGGGGGGAAAACCATTGTAATCCATAAGTCGTACTTTGGAAATTTATATGCATTAAATAAAAGTTTAAAAAAAAAAAAAATTATTAAAGATTTTTCACTGATAGTTGAATAAATGTCAGATAACAATGATAAAACTGCCAGGATTGTATTTATATTTGAAGCTAAAGACCAATGTGAGCACTTAGATAATAAATATATGTCTACTTGTGAAAGGAGAATAAAAAGAAAGAAAATATTAGTGAACAAATCACATAACAAAAACCCAGTTGGTATAAAATTACTGAAAATTCCAGAAGGTTTTATTATCATTTGTATAAATTCTCACTTAGGGACTTATTGACAAAAAATTTCTAAAATGAGTATTTATCCCAATTTACAAATGAAGTTAGGATTTAGTGAAAGGAGGTAGGGGTATAAAAAAAGGAAGATTTTGAGACTCCAAAACTTTCTTTCATGGCTTATATTTTACTGTATGTATAGATGTGTAAGATAATTAAATTGCATAGGTTGTTTGGCATTTAAATAAAGAGCTTTTATTTTTAATTTTAATTACACTAATTTTTGGGGGGAGTTGAAGCATGTGATGCACTTGGATTGGGTAGGAGTTGCAGAGGATTTTCAGAATGAATACACACACACACACACACACATATATTTGAATTCCAACTTTTTTTCCAAGATGAAGAGTTAGGACCTGGGTTTTGAAGTTTTTTAGAGTATACAGAATCTCATTTTTCAGCTACTCATTACACTTGACAAAAATCTCTTGACTCTGTCTCCACTATAAACCTCATGAGGAGCCATTAAAAGTGCCATTGGGCATTTCTGCCTTGTGGCTCAACCATGCATGAAAGCAATGATGCTCTGAGGACACTGGATTTTGGAGGACTTGGACATTTTTCTGTCAGAGCATGGAAGCTTAGAATCTTCTAGAATGTCCATCCAGGCCTGCTGTGTCTGATATGTTACCAGCCCTGCTCTTAACATCTCCCTCTAATAATAGATCTTTGACTTTTTTTTGAGGTCATAATATGTATCTTTTTTTTTTTTTTAAAGAAAGCCTGAAAGACAAGAATTTTCCTTACACTAAAGTAAAATGTGTTTCACATTTTATGTGTTGGCCTTGGTCCAAATTAAATAATCTGGTAGAGTCATTAAAGGAATTTAAGACTTTAAGAACTGTTCTTCATTGTTCTTTTTCTCTGGATAAACTTCACTACCTACAAGAATTTATTTTTAAAAGAATTTATTTAGGTCCAATAAGTGTTGGTTAGTATATATCTCAGTTGCTTAACTGCAAATTTTGTCTAATGTCCTACTGTTCCCTGTTTACCCCAACTTCATTCTCCCTCTTGCATCCTGAGTGAATATTTCATGATTAGTCAGTTGTTTTCTTCTTTCTGGGCCCAAGATAGCTTCTGAGAGACAAACCCAGAGGCTTGATAAATATATTTTATCTCTAATCTATTGTGACTTGTCTTTTGGGTGTTACAATCTCCAAAAACACAGAGTTGGAATTGCAACATGGAAAATAATCTTTTCTTGCTTAGTGAAGATGACTTCTGGTCCACAGACCTATCAGTGCTTTGCAGACAACAAGCAGTTATTCTTATCAAACATATGGATTGCAATAGAACATTTCCACAATTATCTGTATATTTCATTTATACCTTTCAGGTAGTAATGGTGTATTTAATGAAAAACTACTGTGACCAGATGGATGAGAGTATGTGGAATTGGTTCATTTTGTCTTAATTGTAAACTCTAACCTTTTTTTTTTTTTTTTTGCAGCTATGTGGTGTCTTGATCCTGGCGATAGCAATATGGGTACGAGTAAGCAAAGATGATCAAGAGGTAAATAAACAAATATAAGCCACCTTGTCCCTAGTGTAGTTTATTTCTAATAACTATTATATCTATGAAAATGAAAGTAATGACAATCACAATAACAATAAGCACTTCTACAACATTTTTCTTGACTACTTTAACTCATCATTTGTGCTGATATGTATTTTATAATTTATTTAAGTTAATTGAATTGCTCTGTCCTTGGCACCATGCGAGGTGTGGAACAATGGTTCTGGAGCACGGAAGAGGTATTATTCTAAACATTGAAAAATTTCAGTGAAAATGGAGGTGGGAAGTGGCTGAAGTGGAAATGTTTTTCCTTCATCATTTGTTTAAAGCCAGCCTGATATACCACTTGAGAAAGTAGACCACCCCCTTCCTCACCAAGAGTAACAATTTTTGTACTAGAAGATTTTTCAGTAATTTAACTGATCTCAAAGTGGTTGATCCAAAAGGCAAAAAAAGGTGTGTGGGGGGAGTTATCTTAAGAAAATTTGAGTCTGTGCTTTAAAGGCATCAAGAAACAGTATAGTTAGTGTTATTCATGGCAACTAACATTGAAGGCAATCCCTTTAAACAGGAAAAGCTTGCCATGTGAACACAGCTCAGCAGTTCTCTGGGCATGCCCAGCTTCTTGCTACCTGTACAAGAAGAACATGTCCCTGTTTTGCCTACTACACATATTTTTTTGACCAGGGGCAAAGATCTTATGAAGATTTTCCCGAGTTTGGAAGAAGCTTTCTTCCTATGGATAAATTTTGATTCCAGCCTCTGGACTTCTCATATGCTCTCTGTTTCATACCACAGTGTCACAAATGTGGGAAGACTGGGCAGGGAAGGGACAGAAGCAAGAGCATGGGAGGAGGGTTCTTTGTTTTACTCAACACTGCGTCATCCTGGCAGCATTCTCCGGTTTCTTGCTCTCCTCTTTTCAGGGGTATCCCTCCTTCCCAAATTATTATTCTTACTCCTGTAGAATGGTTTCTTCATTTTTCTTTGTTGCCTGGGTTCTTACCACTGTGAGGAATCATGTCTTCTATTGTTAGTGCCATTTCAAGGTATTTGCCCAAATGAGGAGAATTTTTTCCTCCTTAGATTTTTTATTCCTATTTAATAGTTATTAAACTATTTTTAAGCCAGCAGTTAAGAGAATATCTGTGTGACAAAGATAGAGAGCAAGCTCTTATTTGCTGGTTCACTCCCAAAATGCCTTCAATGTGAGTAGGACTGGGGCTAGGCCAGGCTGAAGCTGGGAGCCAGAAACTCAATCCAGGTTTCCTGCATGAGTGACTGGGACTCAACTAGTTGAGCCATCACTTGCTGCCTCCCCGGGTATGCTTTAGCTGGAAGCTAAAATCAGGGGTTGGAACCAGGATTCAAATTCATTACTCTCTTCTGGGATACAGACATCTCAACTAGCTTCTTAACTATCAGGTCAAACATCTGCTTCAGATAGCACACATCCTAATAAAATTTATTTAATCATGGTGCAGTTAAAAGCCTCTGTTCACAGCCTGGTGGAAAGAGCAATTAAAGACAAATTTTTCTGTTCTGTTTCCTATCTTAAAGTGGGGGACACTTCTGGAAATTTCTCTCCCTCTTTCTCTTTTACAATTTGCTTTCTACTCCTGTGGAACCCATAGAATCAGAGCAACAATTAGTTACCTCAGCATTCTGTGCCTTACTTAGGTGAAAACCTTTGGTGGGGGACAGTTATGTTTTATACTCATAAATATGCCTTCCCGAAGGCTTGAGGATCTGCAGTGTAAGCCTATAAAAGGTATTTAAAGATGGACAGAATCTCTGTTGTCTAGAATGGGATGTCTGACATTGGGGCTCATAATCAAACACAGAGATTAACAGCAACCTATAGAGAGAGTACTTTGGCCTTTTCTAACATGGGTGCAAGGCCTGCATCTTATTTATTTTATTCTTTCACTTCTGGTTGATATTTTATTTCCCCTTAGTGTTTCTGGTAAACAAATTTGGTGTTTAGTCTGTTAAGAAGTTACCCACATTGAATAAATTAAGGGAATACTGTTGTCATTGAGGGTGTTACTCCACATGTGGGGAAAAGAATGAATTGATAGAACTAGACAGCATCTTAGTTACGTTTAGACTCTTGCGCTGTCAGCCTCTTACCATGAACAAAAGCAAGTTATTTGCCAGGACTACATTAACCAGCTTGATTTATCTACAGTTAGCATGATTTTTATTTGTCTGAGGCCTGTGACAAAGAATCATGACTGAGCAAAGAGCTGAACTTTATTAGTGGAGAAATAGAAGTAGCAGTTTTAGAAGGGAAAACATGGACACAAACAGAAAAGGAGAATGTTGAGGAGGAGGTAACATATCTTTCTGCTAGTGTTTCATAGGAATAATTTTCTTCCCCTGGGATAAACTCAGCACCATGAGGAGAAGCATATTGGCAGCCATCCTTGACCCAGGAGACCTCCTCTAATCCAAAGAGGAACTCTGGCACTTTGTTATCCAGGCCCAGCCATTCCTCTTCCTTTAGAAATTCTCCCCTTGTCCTATGACTCACTCAGACACAACATTCATCCAACATCTTTTAATACCCTGTGTTTTCTCTGTTGCACCAAACATCTGAACTGAGATTTCTATCCCATTCTTGAGTAAGACTAGCTGCGTTTTGTGCTGGACATGGCACAGTGACTGCTGGGCAGTCAACACACTGCTTTCTGGCCAGTCTCTGATGCTGGGTCACCCTTCCTAGGCCAGTCTCATAGAGGTTCCTCATGAACTGCTACACCAGTGCTGGCTGTAACACCCAGACCCCATAAGTAGATATTTGATCTATTATTCTATACCTGGGTGATCTGTCCTAAATTCTGATAGCCCTGCTAGTGAATCTTCAAACCTGTTTGACAGCTTAGGGTTTGCTTGTACTGGCTACACTATTCTAGTGAAGCATTTTTTGTGGTAAGTTGATAGAGATCATTTCTTTTCTTAGAAGAAATATTTACTTATTTGAAAGAGAGGGAGGGAGGGGGGAAGGAGAGAGAGAAGAAGGGAGAGAGAAGATAGAGAGAAAACCCAAGAGCTCCCATCAGCTGGTTCACCCCTCAAAAGGCAATGATAACTGGGAGCCAAGGTTAGGAGTTATGAACTGAATCTGGTTCTTTCACATGGATGACAGGATCCCATCTAATTGAGCTATCACCTGGTGCTGTGGATTCGTTCTGGGAAGAGGAGTGCGGTGCGGGCAAGGGGCACGGAGTCACCACTGGGAGTCAGATGAAAATGGGCCAGAGGCGAGCAGCCTGCAGACTCATTTATTTCAGTTGGTACAGCAGCTTATATAGTCGAGGCAGTCAATTGTGATTGCCCTAACCAATCACAGCCTGTTGCCAGGCAGGCTCCATTGCCAGGTGGTTTTCCAGGGGGTTTCCGAAGCCATTCCTGAGTAACTGATGCTAGCTTGCCAGCGGCCATCTTGGCATGGCCTTCTCATTCCACCACAATCACCCATTGCATTTTAGAGTCTGGAGGAAACTAGAGTCAGTACTGAAAGCTAAGGATAAAGCCCAGTGTGCTCCAGTGTGGGATTCAGGCATTCTTGCTGGCATCATAACCACCAGGCTAAATGCCCACTCCAGGCTGGTTTCTTAATACTACTTTTTTGTCACATCTAGTTTGACCCAGATATCATGACTGTTTATTAGCAAAACTGATTTCATGGCTTCAATCCTAACAAAAAAAACAACAAAGAAAGCCCCAAAACAAACAAAAATCTTTAGGCCTAACCAAGCTTTCAAAATATGTAAATTGAAACATTATCTGTAAATACTGACTTTAATAGACAAGAGGACTTAGATGTTAGAGGCTGGCCCAGAACCTCTTTATGGAATGGAAAACTGAAGCCCAAAGAGTTAGTTGAGTATCCCAGGGTTACAAATTTAGTTTTTGTTTTGTTGTTTTGTTTTACAAATTGAGTTCTTTATCAGGATCCTGACTGGGATCTAAATCTTTGTTTTAATGCTTTTCTAACTTCAGCACAATATTTCATACTGATTGCAGAATAAAGATTTCTTCTAGTTATGAAATGACATAAAAAGCCTTGAAAACAAAAAAAGGGCATCAAAAGTGGTAGCAGTAGTCAAATCATTTTTGCCTTTGACATTACCAGGGATCTGTACAGCAGATTCTGAGAGGCAAAGTATTTCAGGTAGACTAGTAACTAGTGTTCTACCTGGAGATAGCCCAGTAGAAGAGATTAGAGGTGATAGATGGACTATGTGTGAGAGTCATGTATGACACAGGCACACGATTTCACTCTTTCACTATGATTTGTTCCTGGCCCTAAATGAAGAACAAGATGTTGATCAAGGGTAGGTCTTCAGAGGATGTTGAAGAAAAGCATGTGGTGTGGTGTGGTGTGATGTTGTGTGGTGTGGTGTGGTGTGTGTTAATAGAAATGAATTATACCGAATGGAGAGCTCACCCACAGAAAGGGTCCTAGAATTTTTTCCTTAATATCCCATTTCTTACCAGTCAGAAAAATTAGAGTTGATATGAAATATTAGAAGTGGACATTCTTTTATAAAGATGAAAAGTATTCTTACTCAAAAGTACTCTCATGTCCTTTTTCAATCAATACCTATTTTCTCTCCTGCCTTCATCCAAGGAAAACACTGCTTTGATTTTTATCACCATAGTGTTACCTATTCTTGAATTTCATATTAGGGGACTCAGACATTATTTATGCCTTTACGCAGGGCTTCTTTAGCTCACTGTAATTCTGAGATTCTTTCATAGCATTGTGTCTATCCATTGTTTGAGAAATGTTGGACTTTTAAAATTTAGAACATTAAATTACCATAATGGTTTATAATGCTACTTTGTGCCTAAAATGCAGAATATGCAAACCAAAGATCACATCAGTAACAGTGAAAATACCTGCCTTCTAAACTTTTTGAAATCATTTTTAAAAGCCTATTACATCCTTTCCATCCATCCAACTTCCAATGTATCATTTTAGAAAAACAGGAGATTGGAAACATGATTCAGGTCCATGTCATCTCAACAGAACGTAAGGTCACGGTGGACTGGGATTCTCACTTGTTTAGATCATGTCAGTATTTCAAGGTCCCAGAACAGGGCCTGGCACATAGAAGGTACTCATTGGCTATATATTTTAACTTTCATTTAAAAACTTTAACAGACACATAAAAACTCTACATGTTTGTGGAGTACCAAGTGATGTTTTAATACATATCTACATTGTGTATAATGTCTACTCAGGGTGAACAGATCTATTTCCTCAAATATTGAAGATTTTTCAGTGGTAAAAGCATTCAAAATCCTATTCTTTAGCTCTTTTTTTTTTTTTTTGAGAGTGAGAGACATATAGATATAGTTGTTGAATGAAGGAAACATCAAGGAAATGGCTTTTTTTTGGTCATTAATCTCTTTTTATTTCCAGATTATCAGTTCTGGAGACGAAGTCACCAACTTCTATGTTGCTGCAGATATGTTGATTTCTGTGGGCGCCATCATCATGATCCTGGGCTTCCTGGGATGCTGTGGAGCCATTAAGGAAAGTCGCTGCATGCTTCTCTTGGTGAGCTCTTCAGACAAACCCCGACATTCAGCCTGCAGACTCCTGAGGATTATCTTCCATCCTCAGAGTCTGTCAAAAGTGTTTGCCAAGATTGATGTAATTCCAACTTCTGTTAGAGGGTTTAACTGTGGAAATTAATATGGCTTAGAGTTGACTATGTTTGGCTGTGACTGGAGAATACTTTGAGAAAAGACAAACTCTAGTCATTTACGTATCATTCATTTATTCAACAATACTACAGACCTCTGTGTGCCAGATTCTGTGCTAAACCATATATACAACTTAAGGCAATTCTAACCTGGTACGGAAGAGTAATAAGTAAATAGCCGGTTACACTGGGAGTGTTCCCAGGAGAAAAGGGCAAGGAGAGGGGCCACTTTTTGGCAGGGGCAGAGATGAATAAGGTGATTGTGTGGGCAAAGGTATAATGAGGTTTCTAGAAAGAGATCCTGGCTGTCCAGTTCTTGTATATTTGGGGAACTGAAAAGCCTTGGAAATGGCGGGAGAGTAGGCAAAAACTACGTTCAATAAATCATGGATCTGAACCTGTGGTCAAATCATAAAGTGTCCTATGTGCCACATAAGACAACATAAGCGATGAGAGAACCAGACTTGTCACTTGGAAAATTTTAAGGAGGATGAACTATGTCAGAATAATCCAATACGTTTACTTTTAACATATACAGTAGAAAATAATGAATGGATATGGTAAAAAAAAAAAAAAACAGGAAAAATCCAAGTGTTTGTCAGGTATAGAACTGACACTAGAGTTTATGAGAGCCAATCAAAACTTGTTTTTCTTTTTTTTTTTTTTTTTTTTTTTTTTTTTTTTTTTTTTGACAGGCAGAGTTAGACAGTGAGAGAGAGAGACAGAGAGAAAGGTCTTCCTTTTGCTGTTGGTTCACCCCACAATGGCTGCTGCGGCCGGCGCACCGCGCTGATCCGAAGGCAGGAGCCAAGTGCTTCTCCTGGTCTCCCATGGGGTGCAGGGCCCAAGGACTTGGGCCATCCTCCACTGCCTTCCCGGGCCACAGCAGAGAGCTGGATTGGAAGAGGGGCAACTGGGACAGAATCCGGCACCCCAACTGGGACTAGAACTCGGTGTGCTGGCGCCGCAAGGCGGAGGATTAGCCTATTGAGCCACGGCACTGGCCAAAACTTGTTTCTTAATAAAATAAGTGTTTTATGAGTCCTTGAAAAGAATTTCTTTTAACTGTTTCTTTGGTATGAGGGAGCTTTAACAGGACACTAACAGGATGCTAACAGCATCCTGAACTGTTACCTTTTCATTAAAAAGATCCTATTTGCAATGTGGGGGAGTTAATGACTTGAGAAGTTTATTAAACAAATAAGCAAGCAAAAAAAGAATCTGTGGGCTGCATCCTCCAAAATTATGATTCAGTAGATCTGAGGCATGTTTCAGGAATCTAAATCTATAACCAAATGCAGGATGGTCCTGATAATGATGGAAATGATGTTTCAAAACCATCTCTCTGTGTTTGATGAAGACAGGGAAGGAGAAAGATAATATTCAAATAAATTCATGTATGTCTTCAACTTCCCTCCATTCACTATCATAGATACCAATAGTCCTATCAATAAATTTTCATTTGCACTATTTTCCTTTGCCAGTCTTTGAAGCAAATGTTTCTGAGTGATAACAGACTCCAATTTGCAGGGTAGAGTAAGTGAAGGGTGTGGCTGCTACATGACTGTATTAGGATCCCGAGTGTCAAGAGAAGTGCTGTGCTAAAGTGTCCCCAGATGTTACTGAATGTGTAGAGGACAATAAATGTTCTTATTCCTTTTTTTTTTCTTTCAGTTTTTCATAGGCTTGCTTCTGATCCTGCTCCTGCAGTTGGCAACAGGAATCCTAGGGGTTGTTTTCAGATCAGAGGTGTGTATGTAGAGGATGTTTGGAAAATTTTGGAAAAGCATGAAAAGTTGGAATACTGCCCTCTGGCATAAATAATTTAATAATATTTTCCCATTTGCAGTCTGAGCGCGTTCTAAATTCAACTCTCTATGAAAACGTAAAGCTGTTGAGAGAAACAAGTGAGGAGGCAAAAGTGTTCCAGCAGGCCCTGATTGAATTTCAAGAAAAGGTAATTAGCATCTGCAGGTTATCTGGGGAGTTGGGCAGTTTTTCTACACTTACACTGGTGTATTCCTTGAAGACTGATAATGTTTGCATTTTGCAGATATTGACTGATTATTCTGTCACCATGCCATAAGAAATATACAGGAATATTTGTAGCTATTTTCCAGTTTCTGTAGGAAGTTCTTGAAGTAGATTAGAAGATAGAGATTAAGAAGTTAAGTTTTTTGATTGGGTCAAATCAGTAACTGCTTTAGCATCATCAAAAGGAAAATATAAGGAGTTTATCTCTCTCTCTCTCTCTCTCTCTCTCACCCTCTCACCCTCTTACCCTCTCACCATCTCACCTTCCCCCTCCCATAAAAATAAGCGTAGCTAACATTGGTAGTCATGATTACCAGGTTTTACATTCAGCAGCTCATTTATGCCTCTCAATAACCTTATGAAATGCTGTTTTAGTTGTTTGTGTTACTATAACAAAATACCCAAGGCTTGGAACTTTGTAAAGAAAAGTTTTATTGGGTTTATGGTTCTAGAGGACCGAGACCATGACATCAGCATCTGCTGTGCTCTGTCTGATGCAGGCTTCATGACAAGTGGCACCACATGACAACTACAAGTGTGTAGAGGGGAGAGACATCACATGGCAAGACAAGAAGACAGAGGCTGGGGAAGAGTGCAGGCTTGCTCTCTTTAGAACAACCTATTCTCCTAGCAGTTAATTCACTCCTGCAAGATCTACATACTCAAGAAGACGAGCGTTAATTTATCTATGAGAGTAGAGCTCTTGTGACTTAAATCCTTCCACTAAACCCCACCTCTTAAAGATTCTACCATCTTGAAACCACCCAACTGGGAACCAGCCTTCCAGCACATGTACCTTTGAGGGACACACTCAAATCATATAAAACCACAGCAGATGGTATATAAGTCAACCATTGCATTACTATGTCAAAATATCTGAAGCAGATAACTTTATGAAGAGAAAACATTTATTTGGCTTGCAGTTATGGGGCATGGGGCCAGCTATCAGCTCAGTTCTGGAGAGGAACACATGACGAGTAGTAGATATGCTGGCAGGAATGCATGTGTTGGAATAAGTGGTCATATCTCAAGCCAGGAGCAAAAAGTGATACCCATGTCCCTTAACCCTGCAAGGGTCACACACCCTCAGTTACCTAAGAATTTCCTACAAGGCTCCACTACCAAAGATCTCACCATTTCCCAATTGCTGTGCCCTGAGGACCATACTTTAAGCATGGATCTTTGGGGGGATATACAAACCATAAAAGATGGGTAATATCACTATTCTCATTATCACCATTTTATAGATGAAGAAAATGAGGTTTAGAATGCTCTGACTGCTGACAGGTTTTGGGTTGGAGTTTGAGTCCAGATCTGTGTTGCCAGTCTATTTATTATGTTTTAATTGATACACAGCCCCTCCTTTTTTTTTTCTTCTCTTTAAGGTAAAGTTAGAATTTGGTTAGGCATTGAAGGTACTCTACTGTCTGGCTCCCACCTGCTCTTTTTACACCATGGAGTGTATACCATTCCATAAAGACGCTTGAGTCCAGTTAGATTTGTCTCCTCAAGATCCCTTGAACAGTTTTGTCTTTCTGCCTTTGCATCATTCTCTACTGTTCCCCACTGTTGGAATATACTTACCACATTTTTCCCCTAGATATATGTACTGTAAAAATGAACTAAAACAATTAGTTCTCTGTGAAACTCATCCTCATAATAGCTTTTCATTCAGTATTCCCCTCATATTAACTACATATTGCATTCATTTCATGCAAGTCATGAAAATTCTCAGAATTTTAGGGGAGGCTTTTATAGATCATTTACCTTGACTTCTCATTGACTGAAGCATTTTGTATTTATGGTCTTCTACCTTTTAATTAAATATTGAACAGGTGAGCTTAGGCACAGAGGGTTAAGATACTACTCAAAATGCCCATATCAGAGTGTTTGAATTCAAGTCCCATCCCAGGTGTACTCTACTTCCAACCTTCAGTTAATACACAGCCTGTGAATGAGCAGATGATGGTTCAAGTACTTGGGCCCTGTGATCCATGTGGGAAACGTGGAATGAGTTCTGGATTCCAGGGTTTTGCCTGGCCCAGCCCTTGCTGTTGTGAGCATTTGGGGGTAGTGAATCAATTATGGGAGATTCTCTCTCTCTCTCTCTCTCTCTCTCTTTCTCTCTCTTTCTCTCTCTCTCTCTCTCTCCACATCTCTGTCTTTCTGCCTTTCAAGTAAATAAAATAAACAAATATTAAAAATAAGTATTAAGGAATTAGTTTTATCATTTTTGCCCATTCCAATTAGATACAAGATTATTTGTGTGTTTTTTTCTTAATTTGAAACAAATATGCTTCCCTAAAATTTACATCATTTAGTCCTAGTTACATTTCAGAAGACAAAGAAATTCTATGGATGCTTTCACAGAAGGCAACTTTTCTTTGAAAATGGATATTGTTTGGTTCCTAAAAGCTTTGCTTCTCTATTTGAAACATCCTTGGTTTCTTGAGCTATTTATCAGATGACTTTTCCCCCCCAGAACATTCTTAAATTCCTATTTGGAAAGGCTCCAGCTTGTAAAAATTCTGCTTAAAGCTTTGTTTCCAAGAACCGAAACCTGACATGGGTCATTCCCTGTTTAGCATCCTCTGTTTTGTGCATTGTTCCTAGCTCCCCTGTAGTTGCGTCCTCTGATTTTCTCTCCTCCTAGGTCAGTCCCTCTCTAGAGCACAAAATAATACAGGCTTACTGTAGGAAGAATTTAGACAGCCTCAGTCCCTCCACTGGGCAGGACTGAGCACCCTGGTTATTTCTGGTTATGTTGAATAGACCAAGTATACTGCAGATCACACTTGCTGCACTTTTCCCCTGAGATTCAAAGTCTCAATGCCAACCCCGAGTTTCTAAATAATCTGTTTATTTTGGCATATTCTCCTGAAGTGCCCTCAATCTTGTTATAGAAATCCTCTGTCTGCAGCTCCTTGTATTCATTGGGCTATCATTCCTTTCTGCTGTCTATCTGAGTTTGTTTATTTTTCTTCTTTTTATCTTTCATGGCTTTCTTGTTTTAGTTATGTTTCTTTGGGAAAAGAGTTTTACCCTAAATTCTGGCTGGGTAACCTGGGGTCCCACTACATATGGACAGAAATTGCAGCAAAGGCATAGCTTTCTTTCTGGATTTCAGTGAATTTCCACACAAATTCATGGTTGACATATGATGGAATGTTCCTCTCTTGGGTTCTTGGTAATGGCTATTTGTCTAGAGGGGCTGTGTCACCCATAGTATACTGCCCTTCTCATTTAGGGGTTATACAACTTTCAGCAAGTTCTGGCCCACATCTTCTCTCTCTGTGCCCACTTACAATCTAGTGATCAACTATTATGATAAGCTTTAGCTTTCCTACTTCCCACCCTATCCTTTTATAAGTATGTCTCTGTGCCTCCCTGAGGTATGTTGCATTGCAGGTACAGACTCTGAATGTGTATAGTGGGACTTACATTATGTTTAATTTGGAGTATTTGTATTAGTTAATGCTATTCAAGATTACATAATAAGAAAGAGTGGGAAATTAATCATGTCTCCCATGGGAACAGGAAAAGAAATTGTTTCAAGATTTCCCTTATTATTAATGTTGATCTTGGAACCACCTGAAATTTCCAGCTCTTTGTCACCTGTTGAGTCATATTCTTGTGCAATTCAGTCTTTGGGCCAATGTGCAAGACTATATGACTGCCTCAGTTGAACTTGTTAGTAAAAATCCATTCTTTGCACTGTCTTTGAAACTTGATTCTGTTCTCCAGTGTATTAATCACCACTTCCAGCTCCCCATCACTACATAGTTCACTTTTTTTTGAAAGACAGAGCAACGGGGATGGGGGCGGTGAGAAGGAGGGAGAGAGAGAGAGAGAGAGAGAGCGAGCTATGAAGCCAGGAGCCAGGGACTCCATCTGGGATCACTATATGAGCGGTCATGGCCCATACACTGAGCCATCTTTCACTGCCTTCCCAGCTGCATTAGCAGGAAATGGATCAGAAGTAGAGGTGTCAGAACGGAAACCAGCACTCTCATACGGGATGCCTACATCCTAAGCAGCTGCTTAACCTGCTACACCATAATGCCAGCCCCAACAGAGTTCAAAGATACTTTGTATGTTTTTACCCAAATCATTGATAACAATATTGAATAGATACATTCATGTTTGTGCATAACACTACCACCAACAATAAAAGCAGTGTACACATGCAATAAGATGCTTTCTACAAACCAGGCACTGGGCTAAGCACTTCATATATGCATATGGATTTGCTTATTTCCATCTTTACAAGTTGGCAAGTTAGATGCTATTGTTCATAACTATTTTCTGCATTGCAAAGATGAAGAAACTGAGAAACAGAGAAGTTTGAGTCATGTGAGTAACCTAACCACCTACCCAGTTCTTTGATTGTCCCAGCATTGCAATGCATTAGAGCCTGGAGAGGCATCCAGTGTTGGTTCTATATTTTCAGCAGTGTTTTCCCCACCGTTTCTGCATAAAGAGTGTTCTCACTAATAGAGCAGATAGGAGCACAATGAGAGATAATTACTTTTCTCTCTCTCATTTGATAATATTACATGCTATTCCCTCTGGGTCGCTGGGCATATCACTTCCTTGTTTTTCTTCACCAAGGAAAGCTATATATCCTCTTTTTCCTCTTCCTAGTGCTTCTCCATGCTTCAGTTTATTCTGGACCTTAATTTTCCCGACATTATTCTAAGAGTTTCATTCTTCATTTGTTTACCTTCCGTATTTTACAGAGGCTTATGAAAACTCAATCATGTGAGAGGCCCCTTGAGTATGCTCTTTGGTCCTTGGGAAGCCTCTCATCTTTCTCCTCCTCTCCCCCAAAATAATCAGAAATTGTGGGATGGAAACTTTATTTTTAAAACTTCTTATCTGTTTTGAGAAACAGTTCTTTAATGAGACCTTGACGCTCTCATGAATTCTTTGAAAACATACTTGCTAAAATCTAGGATATAGGGACCTGACACTCAACCCTTCTCTTGTCAATAGAATTTTAAGGTGAATTTTTAAAAATCTTCTTCCAAGTGCCTCAGATGCTTGACTCTTATCCTCATTTTTCCTCATTAATATTAAGACTAAAATGAAAGATTCTTTCATTTTTACTTCTGTGTTCAAAAGGTGAGTGAAGAGATTTACAAGATGGTGAAGTATGAGAAACTTCTTGGGGCCAGCGCTGTGGCACAGTGGGTTAATGCCCTGACCTGAAGCGCTGGCATCCCATATGGGTGCCAGTTCGAGACCTGGTTGCTCCACTTCCAATCCAGTTCTCTGCTTAACCTGGGAAAGCAGTAGAAAATGGCCCAAGTCCTTGGGGCCCTGCACCCACGTGAGAGACCCTGAGGAAGCTCCTGGCTCCTAGCTTTGGAATGGCACAGCTCCAGCTGTTGTGAGCAACTGGGGAGTGAACCATCGGATGGAAGACCTCTCTTTCTCTCTCTCTCTGTCTCTCTCCCTCCCTCTGCCTCTCCTCTCTCTGTGTAACTGACTTTCAAATAAATAAATCTTAAAAAAAAGGAAACTTCTTAATAATGAGTTCAGAAGAGTATGATTTAGTGTATTGAGAATGTTTTTAATCTTCTTAATGACTTCTCATTCTTCTTTTCATGAAACAGTTTAAATGCTGTGGTGTGGTCAATGGAGCTATTGATTGGGGAAACAATTTTCAACAAAATTACAAATCATGTGAATGTCCAACTGTGTCAGATTCTTCTTGTATATATTATGAAGGGCATTTTGTGTACAAACAGGTAAGAACAAAATCAAATTTGGCACAAAAAAGGCGAATCTGTTACTTTCTTTTCACAATGAAATTCTGTGCAAAAAATTAAAGTACAGCAAGTACATTGGAAATCATGTTATTAAATTTACAGGAGTTTCCTAAATACAAAAGAATTCCTTATTTAAAGATAAAAGCATATATTAAAAATGAAAGTATTTTATTTCTTCTATGAGCTTGGTATTATTTAAAACCAACTTTTATATTTCAAAAAATATTCTATAAGGGAAGGCAAGTACATACTAAAAGTTTATTTTGTCCTGTTTTTAGTGACCTTAATCACTATTCTCCATTTTTTTATTTTAACGTAAATTCTAAAAATGAATATTCTCATCAATTTTCAAAGGCAGTTTTGTTTTTCTTATTAAAGTTTTCTTTTCTCAAGAAATTATGTAAGTGTAAAGGAAGGATTTGACATTTAGGGGTTTAAGTTCTGGCTATTAAAGTTTTCTAGCAGTTTACTTAGTTATTTATGAAACTGAGAAGTTGCCTTGGAGATTTAAAGTCAACTGAAAAGATGAGTTTATCTTTTATGTATGTGGATGTCATATTTATGTGACTTTTGGAAATCAGTCAGTGGTTGTCCAATTTCTTTCTATTGGTCAATTCATCAAATATTTGTTGACTACCTTCTATGTGCTACACCTTCTACCAGCCTCTGGGGATACATTCTTGAACAGGATGCTAATGGAGCTGATGCCAAATAGGCAAGTGAAAAATGATTAGGTGACTTCAATTCAATGGATATTGGCATTATAAGAATAGGAGTAGCCACAAGTGTTGTGGTACCCCATCCAAATCAGTCTTTGAAGTTCAAGATAAGGTTTCACAGAGGACATGACATCTGTCCCTTACCAAAGGGCTTTATATGGCTGCTCCTATGCCTGGAGGGAATGCATAATAAAATATCAATTGGTATTAATATGTCATATATGTGCTGTTATTCTTTGTTGCATACTATGTGTGAGACAAACTCTTGATAGGTTTAGATGTGTTTCTGGATCTTCAGGATTATAATCAAGTTAGGATACAGATGCTTAAAAATGATCATAATTCACAATGAACTGATTTCTTTAATAACTAGAGATTATTTTTAATCTAATATTGTTTGGTTTTAGTAACTGCTACTGAGCATAGTATATAAAAGGAAATAGTATCTCAAGGATAACTTCCTTCTCCCTGACTACCTCCTCTAGGTCCCACAGGCTCTGTTCTGAAGGGTTTTGCTGGCACAAATATTTAAAGTAACCCACAGAAGTTATCTAGACTACAGCATTACTGTGTCTTTTCAGTGTCAAAGTAATATCACTGAAAACATTTTATTCTTACTTTTTGTAGTCCTCTATGCTCCTCACCTCCTTATATAATATTAATGGTACAGTATCTACAGGAAGCAGGGAAATAAACATGGTACAAACAAATGTAGTTCCCACTTAGGGTAGTGAGAAAATTAGTAAATTCAATTGCAGATTGCTGGCTGCCTCCCATTAAAGATTCAATTTACAAACGTTTTTCCTCAGTTAGGAAAAAATGCTTTACTTGGTTTTTCTAAAAAAGTCCCTAGTATTATATATACTAGAAGGACATTCTCTGCAATTTCACACATAATTCAGCTGCAGATAGGTTGATAGATGTACCAGTTTCCCAGGAAGTTATAAATTCATAAAATACTTCCATCTGCCTTCAGTCATTTGCAAGAAGTTTGGAAAAATAAGCAATCTGGAATGGCTGCAATTCACATTTCTTCCTTCCCACCCTTCCCCTTTTACCAAGATAACCTTGTTATCTCAGGGTAAGTGTCAGAGAAAAATCCTCAAATATAACTAGTGTGACTCAGTAGCTGTAATCCCTAACCTCATAGTTAACCTGAAATGATGTAGTAATCTCTGTGAATATTTACTGCTTTGGATCAGATGTGAATGAAGAAACTCATTACATTCACGAATGGAGGGAGAAGACTGACTCAGCCTGGTGGAGACATTTAGTTATTAAACAAATAGTAGTATCATGTTAGCCTTTGGACACATATGCATATCACAGGGACGCTATATTTTATAGCAATACAATTTCCATTTTTAAAATCAGCCTTATAATTTAGAATTGCTGAAGTTTTTAGGTTTGATCTGAAATGTTTTAAACTTAGGGAATTGTATGGTGGTTTGAATAAATTTCTGAAAAATAATAGGGGTAACTTTATAAATTCTCCTTTTAATCTAAAATAATGGCATAATGGTAGATATAAAGATTTTTTTCCTTTTAAGATAAAAATAACACTGATGTATATTTCAAATAATTTCATTTTTAACTGACAAAATTTGCATACTTGTGGTTATAGACATTATTAAGGGGTTTTGTTTTATGAATGAAAATTTGCAATATATTTAGCTAAAACCTTAATCAGAAACATCTGTTTTGCAGATATGAACCTAAAAAATCCTAGTCCAGGTTATATCAAGTCTAGTATAAATAAAATGAATTTAGGATAAAATATTTTATCAGTTATAGTATTATAATAAAATTATAATTTCTATACTTTGGAATATATTGAAAGGTATTATTTATAAACATTAATCCATAGATTCAGCAACTAGTCAATTGAAGCAAAATTTTGTTACTCAAGTGCTTTATAATTTTGGGAGATATTGGTGAAAATATTATTATTTATAATTATAGGTCCTAGGTTCACCAGTTAGGTAATTGAGCAAAATTTTACTCTTGAGGAATCTGTTTTGAGGAACTTTTGATTCATGAACAAATGACAGCAGTTACAACCTTTTGGAGAAAGGGTAAAGTAGCGAGCAGAGGAGATAATCTGCTTTTCTTTTTGTTGAGTATGCTGCGTGGCAACAATAAAAACATAAGCCAAATGAATAAAAATGTTAATATTATATTATCAAAATTTTACTAAAGGTAACATTTTATGCTTTTTTAACAGCCATGTATTTCTTTGATAAAAGACTTTGTTATAAAACATATTATTATAATTGTTGGAATAGCATTTGGACTGGCAGTTATTGAGGTATGTATAATCTTGCCTTATTGACTTTTCATTCATTCCCTTGTTTGCTCATTAATACTTCTAACAAATCATCTATGGGAAGCCAAATGAAAATCAGGTGCTTTAGAAAAGCATTGGGTACTGAGTGCCCTAGGCCCAGCATCTCTGTAAATCAGCCTGAGACTGGGGAAGGGATTTCAGTCCTATGAACTGAGCAGAGCTGAGGCTGCTATTTCTGAAGTGAGGGGAAAAAAAGTAGAATTAGTTTCTACACTGTTCTTAGTCCCAGATATTCTTTTCCTGTTGAAAAGTAACACAAGGGCTAAACTTTCCTAACATTAGAAAGAAGAGCACCACACACAAGCAAAGAACAATCCTTACAGTTTCTTCTCTCTCTTCATGATTTTGAAACAGGAAAAAAAAAACTGAGTTCAAGAGTATGGGGAGTGATTTTCTTGTTATTCTATTCTAGAAAAATCTTGCACGTTCTAAAAACTAGAAGCAGTTGCCTATGATTTTTCTCACTGTGAGTACTAGAGGCTTACTTCCAGTAGTTTTCAGGGAAGCTGAAGGTTTATGGATTATTCTCATCAATTTAATTATTGATGTTGAAAAAAATCCTTCATGGGATTTTTATCTTGATGGACTAATTTGAAGAATCCTTTATACATGACCTAAATCTTTGCCAAACAGATGAAATAAAACTGCTTACAGAAGCAATTTTGGAATTTTCCCAAATCTTGGGTAACTTAGATATCAAGTGAGTCAAGTTCACTCACAGGACATTTGTAAGAATCTTAAGGATGTGAACTGTCCCCCTGGTTCCTGAATTTCCCAGGAAATTAGAAAAGATGTAGGGATTAGTCACAGAAAATCGAGCTATTAAATGTTACTTTCTTGTAGTCCAGATTAGTAGGTCTTTCATGGTAGGTAATGGTTGCCTTTCTTTAGGTCTGATATATAACTAAAGTCAAATAGTCTTGTTTCTCTTTTCTAAAAAATAGCTCCAAGAGTATATGATTTTTAAAGATTTGTTTATTTATTTGAAAGGCCAAGTTACAGAGAGAGAGGGACAGACACCACACACACACACACACACCCAGAGAGAGAGAGAGAGAGAGAGAGAGAGAGAAACAGAATGAAAATGATCTTCCATCGAAATGGCAGCAACCATGAGGTCTGGGCCAGGCCAAAGCCAGGAGCCTAGAACTCCATCTAAGTTTTCCATATGTTTGGCAGTGGCCCAAGCACTTTGACTATCCTCTGCTGCTTTTTCAGGTACATTATCAGGGAGCTGGATGGGAAGTAGAGTGGGACTCAATCTGGCACTCAAATGGGATGCTGGTGTTGTAGGCGAAGACATGCGTGTGCACCACAACACCAGCCCTAGCCTACTTCTCTCGATTCTGTCTTTTGAAAAAATGTCCTTTGTTTCTTTACTTTATGTTCTGGGCTTATACTAATTTAGAAGTAAGTACTAATGACTTTATAGATGAATCACACAGGAGCGTATATATACTCAGACATACATTACATACACGTGATGTATATAGAGATGAAATTAAATGAAAGATTGAGAGTTCAGGCTTTAAATTGGAAAATATTCAATGTGAGTGTTAAGTTTCATATTATACCCAAACTCAGACAATTGGCTATCGTTGGCTATAACCAGCAAATGCGTTTAAGAAGCTTCTCATAAGTAAAGCCAGAAAAAATAAGCGATTGGAGAGATTGATGTCTCTTGTATCATATCCAAATGCATTGCCAGAGAATTAAATACACTGAGTGGAAAATAAGAGTGCAAGAGGAATAGTATATTTCAATATTTTATAAAATGGGTATATGTCATGTATTTGTTAAAATTTTAGATATTTTATTGTTTGTTCTAAAGAAATATATAGGGAAATCTATTAATAAGGGTATTATGTACAGCAATTTATAGATGAGGAGTTTATATGGTGCTATTGTAAAATATGACCATAGTTTTCTTTTAGATCAGTTGAATTAGATTCTGTAGATAAGGTAAACATTCGGTTCAAAGAAGTGTTTGAGGTTTTATTGTTGTTCAATTCCTGAACCTAAAGTCTGCTCTTCCTGTAGGGTTTGAAGAGAAAGGAGCTAATTTTCTATTCCTTCCTCCTTTATGCAAAAAGCGGTTTTGAAGGTAGTTCTTCTGTCATCCAATCTACAAAAATGTGTTCTTCCTCCTCCAATGCACTTAGATCTGTCACAGAGTCATTAATACAAGTTGTCTGACACTGAAGCCCATCACCCTTCTTTGTTTCCCAAGTTTAAATTCAAGGAAACACAAATATACACAGAGTGAAAAACTTCTTTGCAAATATTCTTAAGGAAGCACATGTCCCTGCAGAAAACACATTCAGAGCATTTCCACAGAAATAAGTCATACAACCAACAAACACCACCTTTCCACATTTAGACCTTTGGACTTAATCTCTTTAGGCATAGGATTTAATGGAGTCGGGCAACTGTTTCTAAAGCTCCGTTAAGAATCTTCTCAAATTAGTTGGTAGGAATCTATGCAAAATGCTTTATTCTATAAGGAAGATGTATCTATACATTTTTGGATTGTCATTATTTTTACTTAGATAACCAATCATCTTTCCTTAATTGACTACAGTAATCTATAAGCTCCCAAACTAATCAGCATTTACTTTCCTCACTTTATTAAAAAAAAGCCATTGACACTGATAGTCATTACTGTGTAGGATAAAACTTATGCTGATAGGAGGTCTTGGGAATAGAGCAGTTAAACATGGTAATTTTACAATTTTTTTAGATTACCTCACAACATTGGATTTCTGTATGCCACTTAGCAAATTTTTCATGAGTCTTAGCGTATCTTACAATGTGATGAATCTCTTTTATTTGGTGTTTTCCTAAACAGTGATTAATGTTCTTTTCAGAAAGAGAAAAATACAACATGTGATATAAATTGTCTAGTTTGCTGATGAATGATGGTCTTCTATTTTAAGAATGTGGCAATGAAAAACAACTGCCTTTTCCCATTATTTTGTATATTTTCTTTTTTTCTTTCCTGATACTTGTTCCCCAGACTTAAAGCTTAGGATCGAAGCAGAAAGACTAAATTTCAGTCCTGACTTTGAGAACATTCTGAATGAAAATCACCACTTTTGCAGAGAATTGGTGACTTTTGTTGTTGTTAAGAAGGAAGAAATATTAGGCAGCAATTCTCCTTTGAATTACATTTCCAGAAAAGGATTAGTAAGCAGAAAGTCTCAACACAGTAGGAGCATTTAAGATGACTCAGCATAGATGGCACCTTGCCGTCTTCCTGCCTCTATTCCAGGGAGCTGTTGAAAAGACACACAGGTCCTTTCTGGCATTTCAACATCAAAGTCGCAGTGTGCAAGACAACCAGTGCAGAGTCAATTACAGCAAATTTTGGGGTCCCTTATTCTTGGAAGAGCTATATAATGAGATGGAAATTACGCCCTAGATTTTCAGCTGTGCTTTTCAACTTCAAAGGAAATTCCTGAATTAAGCTATTCCCCATAGTTTAGAAGCTTTTTTTTTTTTTAAAGTTACTTCATGTTTCATCCCTCGTGGCAATGACTAAAACTATGGCAAAAGAAATTCTAGACTCCTTGATTTTTATGCAGATGATCTAAACCAGATGATCACAATCTAACTATGGAAGCAATAGGTATATTTAGCCCCTGGAGGCCTGAGCTCCCCAGAGCTACAGGGCAGATGCCCTACAGAAGAATATATGTGTTCCAGAAAGAGGATCAGGGCACCTGGTGGCAGCTGCCACTGCACATTTAAATAGGACTTTCAGAATCCGGTCAGCCAAAAACTCTGATTAAAACACATAGAGATGCACAGAGAGCTTTCTGGGTGCTCTTTTAACTCTTTGGAATCAATAATTTCCTGAGAACAATGAGTTAGATAAATAAGATTAGAATTGTCAGTAGATTGAATCTTTTTATTTATAATTTTTTTCTGTTTATTTATAATGTCTTCATTGTTTTCCTTTAAATTATACATTAATTTTGTTGCTTTTTTCTCTAGATGCTTGGTTTAGTGTTTTCTATGGTCCTGTACTGCCAGATTGGGAACAAATGAATCTGTGGATATGTCAAGCTATCATCAGCCAAACCCCTTTTTAAAATGTCTCTAGACATAGCTAGAATATGAATATCTTCTAGACACATTGGACATATTTAAGAATTGAGGGACACAATAAAAAGTATATGAATGTGTATTTTTACTCAAAATAAAAGTAACATTGTTTACATGGTGCTTTCCTATTTCTAAATGATTGTGTTCAGGTAATGCTATATTTAAAATGCCCATCTAGAGCCACCCAGTGGAATAACCTACATTTCCAAGTCACAAGGCCATAGATAGACAAGACAGTGTATCTGTGATCTTCAGAATCAGCACTGTCTTTGGTATAATCTGTCCACTGTTGATGATAAGATTGAATTAAATCTGAAGCTGAAATAATTGAGAGTGTCCTGCTAAAGGGTCAACATCTCTTTTCTATGTGTGGCAATGACTACTAACGATGTCTCTCTTTTGCTAACATCTATTGTGGAGACAAAAATATGTGAGTGTCCGTCTCCCAGCCATTGGATCTCTGGTACATTCTGAATCTTCCTCTGGGACACAGAAGTATTTTTAACATTTACTTTTTGTCAGAGTACAATATACACACAATAAAGTGAATGCATCTCAAGTGTATAGTCCTGTGACTGCATACACCTGTGTAGGTCCCAGCCAGATCAATGCACAGAACCTTCCCAGCACACCACAGTCCAGCTTCATGCCACCCCCCAGTGCTGTCCTGGAGCTGGCTCATGCTAACATGCCAGAGCAGGCGGTGCACACACACGCTCTTCCCAACTATGATCTTTGAGTCATTTTTACTATTGTTGAACTCTCTCTAAAAGTAATAATAACGTATGCACTGTGGCTTCTTTTACTCAAAATTTTGTCTGTGAGATTGATCTGCATTGTTGCATGTTGCTGGAGTTTGTTCTCATTGTTATACTTCATTGTACAGTATATGAATATATCACTGTTTATTCTATTGCTATGCATTTGGTTTGCTCTCTGAGCACTGTTATGAATAAAGCTGCTATAATGTTCTTTTACATACCCTTTGGTACATAAAAGTGTTCATTTTAGGGTACATATGTAATAATGAAAGTGTTTGTATATGTGTGTGTGTGTTCAGCTCTCATAAATTCTGTTAAGACATTTTCTAAAGTGATAATACTAATATATATCTATACTAGACAAGTATGTTAGACTCAATCTCCTGAGGGAGAGGAAAAGGAAAAAAAAGCAGTTACTTTGAAGTAAATTGGAGTGACTACCAAGGAACAGGTAACTTAAGCAAATCCTGGATTAGAATAAGCACCTCTATTCTGTGCTCCCTACTAATGATAAAAAAATCATCTTTCTCTCAGCATATGTCATATTCCAAGAACCATAACAGAAACTATCATTTTATTATCTCCTCTCTTCTCACCACATTCTTATGAGACAGATGGTATCATTCTTTCCATTTTGCAAATGAGCAAATTGAGGCATAGAGAAGTTAGGTGACTTGCCCCAGGTCAAACAGTTAATAATTGACAGAACTGGGTTGACAAATGCTTCCCCAATCCTGGATGTTGATCATGTTAACTTTCCCATATCTATCAATAAACTTGTATTATTTTATTATAATTATCTGACCATGGATTTTACTTTTGTTAATATTACCGAAAAGTACTTGAGAGGCATTGATTGTTCCTAATTTGTATTTATAAACCAAGTACCTATTAAATGGCTTGGCACATAAATGATATTCAATAAATTATAGCTAAAATATTAGATTTATTGAGAGCATATTATATTTCTAAAATATACTAAGCATTCTACCTTCAGTAACTCATTTAACCTATAATTGCCCTCTTATATTAGGACAATTATTAGACACATTTTGCAGACAAGGAAAACAGAGCCTGAGGAGACTAATTTTTCTTAGATTATGTAGCTAGTAAATAGAGTTCTGATTTAATCTAAGTGACTCAAAATCTGTACTACTTTGTCATATCTTATGATACTGTTGGGAGAAAGAGGTAAAGGGATGTATAGTCAAGTGGCTCCTGTATGCTGCCAGGCACATATTAGGGCTCAATGTATACATAATGGCATCAGGATGTAAAGGAACTTGTATCAGGACCAGATGCTCAGCCTTAGAGGTTAAGATGCTGATTAATACACCTGCATCTCATATAACAATACTTGTTTTTTTAATAGTATTTGCTTATTTGAAAGGCAGAGTCACTGTGAGAGAGCTGGAGGGAAGGAAGAAGAGAGGGAGGGAAGGAGAAGGAGAGAGAGACAGGGAGAAAGAGAGAGAGAGACAGGGAGAAAGGGAGAGAGAGAGGAAGAGAGAGAGAGAGAATGAATCTTCCATTCACTTGTTCATTCCTCAAATGGCTGTAACAGCAGTGGCTGGGAAAAGCCAGACATTGGAACCTGGAACTCCATCTGAGTCTTCCACATGGGTAGCAAGGACTCAATACTTGAGCTGTCTCCCAGGAGTATTAGCAAAGAGCTGGATCAGAAGCAGAGCAGCTGGGACTTGAACCCATGCTCATTCTGGATGCAGGCATTGTGAGCAGTGGCTGAACCTGCTGCACCACAGTGCCAGCCCTACAATACTTGGATTTCATTCTAGGTTCAGGCTCTTGACCCTAGCTTCCTGCTAATTCAGATCCTGGAAGGCAGTAATGATTGCTCAAGTAATTGGGTTCCTGCCATCCACTTGAGGGTCTTGGGTTGCATTTCTGGCTCCAGGCTTGGAAGCTGTGGCAAGCATTTGGGGAGTGAACCAGCAGATGGAGCTCTGGCTCCCTCTTTGTGTGCATGTATGCACACCTCTCAAATCACTAAATTAAAATAGATAATAATTTGTATCAGTTAGGGAAACAGAAACCTTCCACTATTTCAAGTAATGGGAATACAACTTAGGGAATTTGTGTATTTTTTAATTTGGACTGCTATAACAAAATACAACCCACTGGGTGGAGTAAACAGCAGAAACTTCTTTTCTCAGAGTTCTGGAGGCTGAGTCCAAGATCAGGTACCGGCAGATTTGGCTTCCAGTGAGGGCTTGATTTCTGGTTAGCAGATCAACTCCTTCTTGCTGTGTATTTACATGTGTGTGTGATAGAGAATGAAAACTCTCTGGTGTGCCCTTTTGTAGGATAATAAAATTGAGGGCTCCATCCTTATGACCTTATTTAACATTATTTACTTCAGATACAGCCAAAATGGGAGTTAGAGCTTCAGCATGTGAAATTAGGGGGACATGATTTAATCTATATCAACTGCTTATACAGATGATGGAAAAAGTAGGAAACCAAATGGAATGGCAAGGAAAACCAGAGATTAGCAGCAATAGAAAGTTATTAGTGTGCCTACAACAGAGGGGCAGCAACACTTACCAGAACCCAGGATTCAGGACCACTTAGTGGAAGGTAGAACCATGGCAGGGATCACAGAGGGAGAACTGTTCAGCAGGAGTAGGAGTAAGAGGTGACTTAATAGCCATTAGTAAAAGAGGAGAGAGAGAGAGAGACAGAGAAAGAGAGAAAACGAGAGAAGTACTCTGGCTTCTTTCCGCTGTCCACTCCAATCTTGCTAGATCTCCCATTGGCCAACCCACTTATAATTCAGAAAACATGGGGGCCTGGGAAATGTAGTTTTCTTTGATAGAAAGCAGAGCTGGGGATAGCAAGGGCCAGGACTGAGAGTTGACAGGAGAGAGACTGTCAAAGCAATTAGAGAGTTAGCAGGTTTACTGCTGGACTTTTTGAGAAAAGCTTATAAAAATTGTGGAAAGTATAACTGAGATTTAGAATTGCCACAAGAAAGTATACAAAGTTTCTTTGATTCTTGCTCTTATGGCTGAAGTACATATTTTAGGGATAGAGAGGACTATAGAGTAGTTGTTCTTAACAGAGGGCCATCTTGTCTCTCAGAAGATATTTGGTAGTGTTTGGAGACACATTGGGTTTTCGCAAGTAGAGTACATGGTGGGGGTTACAATTATCTCTCTAGGCGGCAGAGCCTGGGAATGCTGCTAAATGTTCTGCAGTTCTTCGGAATGTGCCCCACAACGAAAAATTGCATAGTCCAAAATGTCAATGGTGCTGTGATAGACCTGGCTTTAGAGAAGCTCCTATGAATAACAAAATCCATCTCAGGACACAATTATGTGCATGTGACTTTAGGAAGTAAATGGGATTGGAGTCAGGAGTCATTTTAGACTGGAATCTCACACTGGCTAGTTTTGTGACTTTTACAATTCACTGAACTTGATTTTCCTCCTCTTCAATTAGAATTTTATCAAGAAGATTTTTAAGCTCTCTACCAATTCTCAAATATCTGTGTATACTAACTTCTTAAATGTATTTAGTTTTCTACTATGGGTATTTTAAAAATATCAGTATTTATTTGCTTATGATAGTTCCCCTAAGTTTCCATTTTAATCTTCAGAGCTGAAGGTGATTGGGCAGGAAGTTTTTATTCTCTCAAAGGACATTCAATTCAGATGTAAGAATAAGCACATTCTTTAGTTTCATGCTTTCAAGGTCAAGCCATACTATTGAAAATGTATTAAATTTGGTTAAAATATTTAAGAATCATAGCAAGAACAAAATAAAAGGACACTCTAAATTGATAATTTAGGATAGATGAAAATGTTTTTTTTCAATTCAGAAAAATGTAGGAATTATCTTCATGATGCTTAAGATTGTACAGTAGTGCTAATTTAAGTATATAACATTTACATTAAAACTTGGAAGATAGTTATCAGGTCTGCCAACTTCTCTGCTTCACTCTCACCACCATCCTGCCTTATCTCTCCCAATCTCTCTTGAGAAAGGATCATTGCAATAATATCTTGATGACTTTTTTAAGTTTGTTTTTTCTTCAGATTCATTTTCCAGTGGGCAATGGAGTGAGCTGCCTAAAATGCAGACTTTATCAAGTTATACAACTATCTCCCAAAAAATAGAGAATCTTGAATGGTTCTCTGCTGACTACAATGCCCTTCATGAAACTAAAAGAACTAAGTCTATCTTTCCTTGCTCTTCTCCAGCACTCTTCCATATGTACCCAATATGGCTTCAACTTTCTGCTCTTTGGCTATACTTTCATATCTTTGCCATTGTGCTCATTGTGCCTAGAATGGCCTTCATAATCATTTGGTTGGATACCCTCAAGCCTAGCTCACATGTCATCTACTCCATGAAGCTTTTATGGATCTAATCATAGCAATTCTTTCATTCATCTGCATTTTCCCATAGCATATTATATTTACAGATCAATTATCTTAATTTTGGGTATGTTTTTGTCTGTATTTTATTATAATATCCTTGAATGCTTTTGAGTTCTGAATTCTGAATTGAATTGAGTTCTGCATTGAATTTGAGTTCTGAAGTGAATTTATCCCAGACTTTAGTATAATACACAATATACTAATGGATTAATAAGTGTATGTTATTATTAATATCCCCTACTCCACTTGATGAAAGATATCCATTGTTACATTATGGATATTTTCCTTTTAATATCTATGTCTCCATATAATAACTATTACATGTAGTGCTTATTACATGCCAGGTACTCTTCTGGAGAATTCACATATATTCATTCATTCAGTTCTCACAACAGTTAATATTGCTAAAGTTATCCTCATCTTACAAATAAGAAAACCATAAGGAAGAATAAGTAAGTTGCCCAAAGAATTCAAATTCAGCTGTTCTACAGGCTGCATTATTGACCCACAATACTATGGTACATCTCTTGGGGGGCAAAGTTGATTTGATTAAGAAACAACATTTTAGATTTTTTTCTAGAGTAACTGAACTGCTAAGGGTAATACTTGAACATCGAAGTATATTGCTGTATCAGTGTTAGCCCACATGTCATGATCTCCTTTCCTCTACTCTCATACATTGTATATAACCCCATCACTATATCCATCATGCTATATTTCAAAGATTTGTTTCCATGTCTACCTCTTTTATCTGACTGGGAATAATTTGAGACAAGCAATGTATCATTTTAAAGTTGTGTTCTACCCATACATTGCA